ATCCTTCCGTGTAGGAACATGCATGCTCCCGCGATTGCATCGAGTTTGGACGGGGAAAGCAACCCACAATATCCTCTTCGTCCGCACGCGAAACTCCCACCATTGCATCGGAGCCCTTTGTTCAACGAAAAAGAAGAACAAAGTCCCACACCCACACTCCCACGATTGGCCACGCAAACATACTCGAATCCGAGCGAGCCAACTGTTGAGCAAAATCGTGATTCCGGCTCCGCAACTACGGTCGAATGCACGCGAGCAATGCTTGTCCTAGACGAAAAAATGGAAACTCGACAAGAAACTTGGCTGTCGGCAACAACGACAACAAAATAAAAATGCACACAGTCAACAGCAACATGAGCCTTACTGATGAACGAAGAGTAATATCCAGAAAGGAAGCGCAATATAGTTGGTTGCTACTTAATAACCAAAGTCAATTGTACGCAAAAAGAGACGGGTTCGAAAGGCATCTATCCCATCTCTCAGCGAAGACTGTACGTGCAAAAATCGAGCGGTTTCTCTCACTTGGCGATGGTGGTGTTGATCTGGGACTTGGCATCAGCTTCCACCGTGGCGCTAGACGTTAAAGTCGCCTGTTGCGTCAACGTGTCCAGATCTGTGCACGCCTGCGGCAAGACAGGGAACAGAACGACAAAGGTGAAAATGAGCATGAGAAAAAATCAGACAACGAGGTCAAGGGCAGGACACCTTAACTGCAAAAAAGACTGCTGTTTGGCGGAAGACATCAGGACCCCCACCGTCCAAGATGGAAACTTGAAGAAAAAAAGAGGATACAGTAGGAATGCCTTTCGCGTTGTACATTTTTGGCATTTTCAGAACGCACGCAAAATAACATTCTTCGTGAGAATTTTATGAACCACGGACGTCTCTCTATTTCCCGTTCAAACCATTGTCATGTGTGGGGATTGGCTGGAACCTGCTGTGGCGTTCATACCTCGAAAACATCGACCATGCAGTAAGGGAGGCATACTGTATGCCGCAAATCGCGATAAACGCATCAGTGGCATCGACGGTCGACATCGTATTCGAGTAACTTTCATATTCGCTTGTTTGGTCCTCGCGCGATCCTGATTGGGTGTTGATAGTCGTGGTACAGGTGGAACAACGGTTCATGTACCACGTAGCTATCGTAAAAGCAGATTAGAAGTATCCAGAGACCGATCACTTGCTCAGACGAGACGAAGAAGCTACTTACGTTACTGCCATACTGTATGCCGCAAATCGCGATAAACGCATCAGTGGCATCGACGGTCGACATCGTATTCGAGTAACTTTCATATTCGCTTGTTTGGTCCTCGCGCGATCCTGATTGGGTGTTGATAGTCGTGGTACAGGTGGAACAACGGTTCATGTACCACGTAGCTATCGTAAAAGCAGATTAGAAGTATCCAGAGACCGATCACTTGCTCAGACGAGACGAAGAAGCTACTTACGTTACTGCCATACTGTATGCCGCAAATCGCGATAAACGCATCAGTGGCATCGACGGTCGACATCGTATTCGAGTAACTTTCATATTCGCTTGTTTGGTCCTCGCGCGATCCTGATTGGGTGTTGATAGTCGTGGTACAGGTGGAACAACGGTTCATGTACCACGTAGCTATCGTAAAAGCAGATTAGAAGTATCCAGAGACCGATCACTTGCTCAGACGAGACGAAGGAGCTACTTACGTTACTGCCATCACGTTTATTGTTTGTCTGGGCGCCGTCGGTCCCCCTGCCTTTCGGTACAATTCTGGAGGCACCAACCGGGGCCACACAGGAGGAAGGAGGTTACGATGTACAGCTGCACTGCACCATCGAACACACGAACCATTTGCGGGCATTGGCTCGACGGAGGACGTTATGAAAGTCGTCATGCATCAAGTGTAAGGGCACATCGGGAACCACTCTACCAAAATAGCTGCTCTCAACACAGCCGTGCAGAGATGTGTTTGTTCTGTAACGGTGGACCTAAACTTTCGGGATTTGACGCACTTGTACCCAGGGGTATGTACGTGTACATGCATGCCATAGCAACCTATTGCAAGCATCCCACGCCATGTTCCTCATGTTTGCAACGTCAGAACGTCAATATTCAAGCGGACCCAAAGGCAGTGATAGCTTGCGGGTTTGCTGTGCCCTCCCCGCGCCGGCCCAACAAGCCGTGTTATTGCCATGCTCTCCAACGGTTTGTTTGGAGTGAAATCGAGACGAACGATACAAGCCGATTGCCGGAACCTGTGGAACCTCGATAACTCGCCGGGGAAAGTTCTGGGGCATGACGAGGGAGCGGCACCGAGGTTTAAACCGTCCTGGAGACAGCAGAGGTTGCGCGGTTGAAACGCTGAAATTGTTCCGAATGCCCTCTGTCGGCACCGACGTTAGTTTCGAGCTCGTCCATCAGCGTGTACTGCTGTAACTAGTTTGGCCTTGTGTTCCCCAATCGTGCACATACCATATCGTAACGTACTGCAGAGAGTCGGCCGTCGTGTACAGCAGCTGGACCATACAAGAATTGGGCCGCAACACCGAAACAGAGTGCAACCACAAAATGATCTTAGCTCCAACTGGCCTTACTGATAATTCAGTGTGAGGCTTACACAAACTCAAAATAAGCCAAGTCTCCAGTTGGTTTCCATCCACTTACTGAAAAGACTTCACATCCCTTTCGACTGAGGTTATATCTCGAACGGGTAGTCTTTCTGTGAGGTAATGTTTACTTTCTAAAAGACCGCAGTATTGGACGGCCGGCACCGCGGGTCACCGGGAGCTCACCCGCGCGTGGTTTACAGGAAAACAAGTATCGGACGAAGAACGGCGCAGAGGGGTTGCCGATTGAATACATCTGCTGTGGTGCGTGCAGCGTACCGTAACGCTCGCTCACCTTCTTGACGGCGTCAATGTCTTTCTTGACTGCGTTAACCTTGTCGAAGAACCCTTCCATGAACCCTCCGCCGCCACCGCCGCCGCCGCCGCCGCCATCCCCGTTATCATTGATGTCGATTGCGATCTCAAAGGGTGCAACACTTGAACCGCCTCCACCCCCACCCGTGAGCTCGCCTAGCCTGTCGTTCATCTTCCCCCAGCAAAGATGCCTAAGGTTAACAACGCACCGTGCGGATTGGGTCAACAGCCCCGTTCCAACGGGGAGTTACAGCTCCAGCTTGTGCCGCCTCACCGCTATCCAGCCACGAAGACACTTGCTCCACAGACGATGGTGAACAATTGCCTTATCTCTCTCCCCGTCCGCTTTGCAGTGGTGGCTCTTGGTCGCAGCAACAACTCGCTGCTGCTGACTCCTGCTTGCTGTGCCTATTCCGCTTGTTGTACTGGATAGAGCACGCGACGGTGGTGGGCAATGGTATATGACAAATAATAACCATGCTTGATTGTTATTGTCATATACAATTGATGGGTGGGGGGGGCAGGGGGGGAATTCGATAGGGTTTCCGTGTGGAGAGGCTTTCTTCGCATGTAACCGCCAACAGTATATTCACGCTCAAGCCACAAGCAACCGATTTCTTCCTTCCGCCGATCCTTCAACAGGGGAGGGCGGCGAGGAAGCGAAACAAGCAAGCGCAGCCCGACCGTGATACCCGTGGAGTTTGCCGGCTGAATGAACCCTTCTAACGACACAGAAACGAGTTGCAGCACGAGCTCAAGTAGTTCTGGCCCTGGTTCGCGGCCCGAACGGGTCGCTGTTGGGGCTTCACCAGAGAGCCAAGTATGGAGCCCGGCGGCGGTTGAACACGCCAGAAGTGGAGCTCCTTCCCCTTCGCGCGCTGGGGGGAGGGGTGGTGGCGGCGAGTGGTGGCGTAACGATGCTCGCGCGCTGGAGAGGTGGGAAGTGTGCCCTGTAATCTCTCTCTACTTTACTCAGGATGTAGGGATCTCGTCGATGCTGGGACTGATCAACAGGGGCGATTTGAACATTTGAACGCAAGCTCAACACTGCAGTTGTGCGCACGTGCCCTCTGGCATCATGGGCGTAATGTGTTGCGTCAAAACCGTGCATGGCTGCGTACACCTGCCCGTGCTCAGCTTCTAAGGTGGTTGGTGTCCCGTGCTATACAATTATTCTAGGTCGGGAAAGGTCTCTCTCATGTTAGACTACATGTGAGGCAAACAGTTTCGTACAGCAGTACAGCCGAGACCGGTGCGACTATTGTGCACTTCTGCCAGCGTTGACGCGCGCGGCTGGTAAAAAAGCGCAAGAGATAGGGATGTCGTGTTCGTGGTGAAATAGGGGAATGGTTGGTGATGGTGGTGGTGGTAGGGCGCTCAGTGCCCTCTAACATTCTTTCCGTCCCAACTGGCGCAGGCCAACTATGATAAATTGCGAGTCCAGAGAAGAAATCTGCATCACTGAGGATGATGTACAAGGTTGAGGCTGAATCATTCTGCCTTCTCTTCAAACCTAAAACACCCCGCGACGAGAAGCTCACGGTAAAAAACGCGGGACGAAGGGGCCACTGCTCTACGCAGCCTCTCGAAGCGTTGCTACTGCAGCACCCGCGTTTTCGATACGGCAGTACACAGAGCAAAGAGCGTCGATAGCGCACGCTTTCACACACGAAAAGGCTCCTGGCCTGGCAGAAACAGAACTTGAGCCATTGGCGTTCTAGGTTAAACGAAGGAGCACAATGTACTCGTCTCTCCTTGCCTCCTCTTGCTCTTGTCGATTGCCACAGCCAAGGTAAGACACCACACCAGACAGCCACCGACGACGATGACGACGATGACGACGATACGACTCGAGTAACTGTCACGTCTCCTGCTCGGAATCGCAGAGAAGGCGAAGATATACCGACTTACGACAGTAATTCACCTCGCCAGCGACCGTTGTCTGCGCCGCCGAAGGTATACCAGCATCCCTTTTCTCGACAATCGGAGCTTGGAAAAGAAGGGGCTTCTACCGGAAGGTTGCGATCAAGGGAAACGATCGTTGGACAGACAGGTACAACCGACGGTAGTGCCGAGATGTTTGAGTCTGACGGCTGCAAGACCGTTGGGGGCCGCGATGGTAAGGAAGATCCCGGAAGGAACGCAAATTTAGCATCTCAGCAGCGACTGAGCTTGTCGCCAACCTTCGGGTCGGCGTCAGAGAGGCGGACGAGCGAGAAAAAGCAATCCGACACGCGATCCTCGATGTTGGTGAGCGAGAATGAGGGGGTCGTACACTGTGGAAAAGCCAGATTTGCTTTTCTGGAAGGGATGAACGAGGGGGGAGATGGGAGTAACGCTGGCGCTTCGGTGTCACCTCAAACCTACGGGCTTCATCGATGGAAGGAGTACGCGGTACTGAGGTGAGGGAGATTGGTCCAACTCCGTCGAGTGTCGAGTTTTTTCGGGAACATTTCAAGTTGACCGGTTGACGCTGCCTGCCAAATTATTTCGATGACGTACTTTCAGGTCGTGGCTTAGGGTTTCTTATACTCTGCTTCCATTACATATCAAACGCGGCATTCAAGTATCTGAGGGCTAGCTGGAACTTGAGCTAATCACCATTCGCGACTACAGCACGAGTTCAACACCCATCACTGTCCAATACGGGGTTTGTTGGGCGGCGCTTGCTTAGGGAGTTTGGTGTTGAGATGGAGTAACACTCAGACTTCCGCCGTGCAAAAATGACGAAAGCAATACGTACGTGTGCTATTTCCGGCCGTGAGACGTGACAAATCAAGTAATTTATGCCGCTTTGGGGTGGTTGATCTAACCGTATTACAGCGCGGCTACGTTCCACCACCATTCTGCCAGCATTTCCCACGAAGGCTGATCGTGCCGAGATCACCGGTTGGTAGCGGCCATTTTTGTGACCCATGGTTTTTGCGGCTTGTAGCGAGCCTCGTGCTAGCCTGTAGAGTATGATCTGGTGTAAGTCACAAAATTCTCAGCAGGCAAGGTAAGAAACAAACGGCTGGTACGGTCTTCAGGGACTGCCACGTGACGTGCGGATATCCTCATCTCTACTACTTCCTCTGTCACATAAGTAAAGTCCGTTATGATTACACGGCCATTTAGCCGTGTCCGATGTCTCAGGCGATACTTTTTTTGAAATCTTGAGCGTTTTTCGGGTTGAAACCCATATTTCTTTTTTTTTCTTGCGCACTACCCTGCATGCCCTAGCGGCTTACAAAAAAGTAGTCAGGTCAAAAAAGGCCGTATTTTGCCCCTTTCCATGAGGGTGGGGGTGGGGGCACGAAACGAAACATACCAAAAAAAGACAAGAATTATCCCGAACCCTAAACCCAAGGTTACCTCTACTGAACGATCCATTTCGCGTCCTCCAATACAAAAACCAACATAGTAGTGAACCCACACTAAAATCAAGACATTTTCGAGGCCCACACTAAAACCAAGACACTTGGGGGCGCCACACTAAAATCAAGTTAGTTGCGGGGCAAAGCCGACAGGCGTAGGGTCCTAACCCTACCCCCCCCTTGTACTCAACGACCCATGTCGCCTCCCCCTATGCGTCGTTGTGGTGGTAGTGGGTGCTCACACAGCACAAAGCTGCAAATATTCTTTAAAATATTCTCAAAATGTTTTCAAAATATTCCCAAAATATTCGCAAAATAGTCCCGTATTTGACACACTAATTCTCAGTAATTGTGAGTCGGATTTTTTTTTTTTTAGTTATGTGCGTAACAAGCGCTTTCCAACAAACCTAACTAGAGCTTCAGGAACACCTTGGCTGGTGAGGTATGTAAATTCCCCCATAACGGACTTTACTTATGTGACAGAGGAAGTATATAACCAACTTTCCCCGCGGGTGACACCGGCCATGGCTCCTGCTTGTGTGCTCGCCTACTTTGAACGATAGGCACGGGGGGAATAAGCGATTCGTCAACAGCCAGCATGGCCGCGAAATTCTCTTCGAAACAGCCTCGACGATTCGCACAAAAGAGGTGAGAGAGGGGAATACCCAGGCACGGCTATGCCGTCATATTGCGCTTAGGGCAAGGATACGAATGGAGCAGAGGGGCACACGTTTCCCGTCAAAGCTTCACCGCTTTCCGCAAGCCAGCGTCGGGTTCACTTGATTATCGCCATCCCGATGCACGAAAACGGGGCCAACGTTGATCACTTTGGTCTCTTGCGAACCCGGGCTCTCCTCGAAAAGGGACAACCGTTCGCCCGTATTTCCGACGCATATCTCGTTTAAGATGACTAACGCGTATACCAGGATGCGGACTGACCTCGCGTGGAATATGTGTAGGTACCGCAGTGGTGGATCCGTGTGGCTCCTGCAAGGATCGACCTTTGAGTGTCAACGGTGTTGCCTTAGGCAGGCTGCATGTGGGATACAGCCGGCCTCGTTCAAACTTCCATAATTAGCAACGTCCGCGTCTCTTTGAACCTACAGCCCTACGTGTTTGCTTCGTTCTCATGAGGTGGCGGATCTGAACCGCGAACTCAAAGAAATGAGGGGTTTGGTGCAAGAATTGCACAGCGCGTTGCATGCCGAGCAGGTCGAGAAGTCAAACCTTCAGGTGGGTAGAGAGGGTGGAGGTCATATGGCATGGTGCGACACGTTTCGATTTGATAGGATATGCTACGACATGATACCTTGTCGGAGATGTCATCCCCTTGTTCGAATGCATCCCTGGGCAACCCAACCTGGCCCAACGCGGCCCGATCTGACCTAGCCCCAAGGCGTAGCCATCTTGCTTAGTTTCCTCCCAAACCCACCCGGAGGACATGACTTGCTCTTCTACCTATGCTACGCGATTTCTGCGCTCGGTTATAGCCTCGTTCCCGGCGTGCCTGGCAAATTGTTGGGTACGTAACAAGGCTCGCCGTGTGGCAAACCGTGAATGACGCGTGGGGTTCCCTCTGTCCTTACTGTTACCCTTATTGGTCTTACCATTCTCACTGCCATACATGTTTGGGTTTCCCCAAGGTAAGCCCACCAAACGGTTCCTCGGCCCAATCGCAAAATACCAATCCAAGCCCGATTGCAATTGGCTCAACGTGCCACATCGAGTTAACTCAGATCTAACGACTCGAACAGCACCACGCCACGAGTCATTTCCTGGTTTATTATGGTTCTTTTTTGGTTTTTCGATGTCATGAATAGCCCTCACCCAGCGTTGCGGAGCTGGTTGTCAGCCGGCTCATAGCTTTGACGTATGTTCTACTTTCCTCGCTTGCTCTTCGACATCTTGAACCAGTCGACTCTTCTCGTTTGCCGACTCGTACACGAAGTTTTGCATTCTGGCGACGGGGGCCACAGCCACACCCACTGCCAGCAGGCTCGTCTCTCATATCTTTAGGCTGCACTCGAAAAGCAGAATATCGAACCATGGGCCGATTACGAGGAGGTTTTCAAGGCAGTATACAACTACCTACCTAGGGTCAACATCGATCGAACTAGCTACTCAGCCTGGAGAGCTGATGGGAGAATCATGATCCCACCAAGCCGTCATGAAAGCTATCACATGTATTTGAAGATTCGACCCTCCACTCGATCCCGCGGCAGGCCAAAATCGTGCTTCTGGAGAGAGAGATTGAAGGGATGGACTTTGCTCGAAGGTAAGAGTGTTTCAAGCATGTGTCGCAGTATCAAGTCGCCGTTGTAGGTTCATTATCGTAAGCAAGCTCGAGCGACATCATACCGCCTCGAAGTCGTCCATGTCGTTCGCCCTTTTAGTGTGTATCAACGGCTATGGTGATACTCGTACACCCCTGGCTATTGCTAAATGTACTTCTGTTTTGGGCCGAAGTTGCAAATGATTTACCAGAACCTTCGTTCAGATAGAGAGCAAAGAGGCGGGTACACCCAAACTCTTGTCATCAACAACACTGCCTCGGTATTCGAAAGTCTGCAAGCTTACCGCCTGAGGGACAACCCCTCAATTTCGGTATTAAATCGAAGGGCAAACATCTTTATCTTGAATCATGATCAAGAGACCGATTCTCGGAACCGCTTGTGTTTCACCTAAGACGAAGCCTTGTCATATCTTCTTTCTCTCTTGACTCTCCGTCAATTTTGGAACAGGCGTTGGTTGAGGGAGAATGCGAGCAACCGTGGCCGTGGGTCCAACCTGGAAAGGCGGCTAGCGGGAAACACGGGAAACCTACGGACGTTTCTGTTCGGAGCTGACGCAAAGCCGGAGGCGACCAGGGTGCGTGTGCGTGATTCGTTCGATTGCATCGACCAATGAAAGACGCGTGTTTATGCGTGTTTTGTGTGTTTTGCTGACGTAGATTTGGCCTAACTATCCGGCAGCCCATTGAATAGACGTCGGTATCAGGTGGTAGCAACCAAGGTTTCCGGAAAGGGGCCAAAGCTCTAAGAAAATCTGTCGCCCACTTGTTGCACATCCCTACAAACACATGGCAACAACACGCCAACGCTTCTCGCAAACCCTCACCCGAACCCAAGGAGCAACCGGTGCACCTAGTGGAGCACGCCATAAGGCTGATTCTGGCCCCGCGGAAGCCAGTATATCGTGAACTGCTGTGTTTTCCAAAACAGAGAATGGCGTACTCCACAAGAGAAACGTGTGTCGCACCATCAATCATGAACATCAGTTTCACACATTTCGGCAAAGTTTTCTGGAAAAACCAGCCGGGGTAAAGCCCCACAAGTTTTTTTTTCTCCATCCTGCTCATGCAGTGTGGAATGTTACTTTCAGTCCGAAAGCTTATCTGGACGTAGACGGGGTTGCTACCGGGGGGAACCTGCCCCCACACTGGTCTAGATCACATGGTTGGCCATCAAACGTTCCACCTGATGCGCACTGCTGTCGGTAGCGGGCCCCATGAAGAGAGTGGTTCGAATTCGGGTTCGGCTATTCCTACACCATATCCCAACGAGTGAATCCCCCCTAGCCAGTTGTGTGTTGCGTTGGGTACGCCTTCCGTAGAGCGATGGCCGTTCCGGACAACACCGGAACCCGAAAAGAAAAATACCAGAACTAGGCGCTAAAGCTGAGGCGTCATCAGGTTGTTCCTTTTTTCTGGGAAGGTGAACCTTCGCCTCCTTGGTGCACGCCCCTGCTCGGCATCAATGTCAAACCAAGCAGTTGGCAACCAGAGACGCTTCCAGAGCACCTGGAACTTTTAGGCCATCGACCACATGCAGTGGGTCGCCGGTGGCCTCGTCCCGCACGCACAGCGGTGTAGGTGGCGCCGCCGCAACTGCCTCGGAGATGTCTACGGGCGAGGAAGGGGAGAGGGATATGGCGGCCATCGGTGGTACAACGGCGGAACGAAATTCCGTGCGACGGTGAGGAAGGAGGGAAGAAATATCGCGTGGAACATGTGTGCCGAGGTTGGTCAGAAGCAGAAGCTTGTTGAACGCGCGTGCCTTGGAAGTTCCGCAGCCGAGAGATTGCTCCCAGAAGGAACCTGCCGCTTTGTCTGATAACTGGCCTTGGTTCAGAGGGCGTTTAGCGTACGGTACCCGTGGGGAATGCCGATGAACATAAGAATGGTGTGGGATCTTTGTTAAGACTACTCCCTCTTTGGAAAGCTGAATTTGCCATGGTCTAGATCGTGGCAGGAACCTCTCGCAGAATCTTCGTCTGCAACCACCTTCGTTCTAGATGTTGTACAAGGTGCAGGTACCACTCGATCAATGCACGCTTCGCAAATGCCGACCAATCAGAGCGCGAGAGACGGCGGAGCTTGAGAGAAGCGAACTACGCCGGAGGCACGACGCCGAGGTGGGTCAAAGCTAGCCTTGGATAGGTCAGCGTTCGGGGTAGTGTTGTTTTTCGAGGAACAATCGCGTTGGTTTGTTGCTGCTGCTGGTACGGTCCGTCAAGGGTGCTATTATGGCTTTTAGATCACCCGGACTTCCTCTCGGCCTCATCCTTGCTGGTGCCACAGATGTCCGCGAAACAATCTCGGATCGAGAGGCTCAAGCTCGAGGTACGCAAGCTGGAGGCAGAGAGGGACGGCCTGAAACAGGTAAGGGGTATCCCGAGCATCTATTTTTTCCGTCTAGGCATCACAATGTGTACGGGAGCTCTTTTGACTCCGTCGCCCCTCGCCCGTTATATCATTTTAACTCGAGTGCAACGTTGAACACAACGGAGCACATCGGTTGTATGCTATCGGTTTCAATTTTTGGTTCGGGAGTTGGGATAGAATTCCACAAGACCAATACAAGTACCCCGAGCAATGTCTTCGGTGATACGGTGAAATCCGACGGGATTTGATATCTAGGCCTCCTGTGTCATCGTGCGAAGTAGCGAGGTGAGGATGGGGACCCAGATACTCTAGCGTGCACTTGCTTCTCTGGCAGGGAGTTTGATGAAAGACGACGTTCCTATTTACGGCAGACAGTACCTGAGGATCTAGTCGCCGTTCACATGACGCGCACTACTGTAGTGTAGCTGGAAATCCACCTCCGCCCCCGTTTATTCTCCCTGATTTAGGCGGCAGAGATCCAGGTAGGGCTGTTCAAGGATGGCTACGCCGAGCTGAAGACTTGTCTTGAGGAAATGAAGGCACACGGGCAGTCGCCGCCGCCAGCTACCTCGCGCAGTCTGGCAGACTCGTGTTCCGAAGAGGTGGGGTATGCATCGAACCACAGCTTCCCCGACGAGCCCCCTCACGAAACAAACACCTGTCGATGGACCCGCCGTGCGTCATGCCGATGTCGGTTAGCTATATGCCGCGCGTTTTTTTCTCGACGAGAAACGTCTTCTCGTGTGACCCTAGGCGAGTCGCTCGGTTTCCCCGTGTTCTTTCTTCCCTGATCTGCCCGATCAAATCGAAATTCTCGGCTCTGCCAGCCCGGCGGTGACGGCCGGGAGACGATCAAATCTGCCGAGGGAAGAGAAAGTTGGATGCAGACTATGCTAGCGACCGAGGAGGGGCTTAATTGCCAGGTACGGAATGTCTGTCTTATGTGCGGGATGAGTGATTACGGGATATCGATTGGATGTTGCACAGCAAGACAGGATTTTTTTTTAACGGCAGTGCCTGTGGGAACCACGGCAATATAACAACAGCTGCACCTTACTGTTGGGCCGCCATGCCTTTCGTACTTCGTCCGGACCAAATTCTTGGTTTTGATTCGACCCAAGCAGGTGAGGATGCTCCAGGGCCTCCTACTGGAAGCGGTCTCAGCGGCGACCCCGACCGTCGTCATGCCTGCGGCGGTCACACAGGCCGTCGACTCCATCCGTCAAGGCCTAGGGCTACCTCCGTTGATTCACTCCCCGGAACGGGCCGCCCGTGCTCTTCACGGCATGCCGTTTTCCTCGTCATCCCGCTATCCCGCCGCTGCCGCCGCCGCCGCCGCCACCGTAGCCGTACCGGAGTCAACGCACATCAGTCGTGATCTTGAGACAGCAGGCTGTGGCCCGCATCGTGGAAGCGGCGTGGAGAGGCACTTCCTTCAAGGCCCGAGGGTCGAGTCCCCGACCCAGTACAGACCGTCTGAAAGAGGGCAACAACCCCGTGATTACCACCACCAGATCCATGGCGATCGCCGCCCGTCTGGGCAAACAGCAACGCCCAATGCCACCTCGCTCTCGTCGACGGCGGAGGGTACCACAAACGACAAGCGTCATGTGGTAGATGCCATGGGTGGAACCAGCAGTCAGGGCAAGGTCGCCGGTAAGGACATTCGCCCCGACGACGGCGACGACGACGACGGCAGTAGCTGTACGGGCTCCGAAGGGAGCGGTACCCTTTGGGTGAGAGTGGCGCCGACAGACGAAAGCTCTTCGGTGGAAGAAGACTTGAACCCACCGTCCTCGCAGGCGAGCTACCGACACCAGGGCGTCGGGCCCGGTGCTTCTCGGTGGAGGGGGCGCGACGACATCCTCGAGCGATACATCGGTGGCGGGAGGGGTGGGGTGCCGAATGAAAAACCCGAGCCCGAAGGTCAGCCTGAAGGCAATCAATCAAGCCATGAGTTGCCTTCGTCCCCTCGTGCGTGGTCTGCTGTTGGACCAGGCAACGGCAGAAGAAGTCGCTGGCAAACGCCAGAGAGAGGTAGTAATAGAAATAATAGTGATACCGACCGGCCGCATTCTGGCCCAGGGGAAGAGACGCTCATCCGAAACGTCCGCGACGAAAGTAGGGCGGGGGCGGAGAGGGGAAACAGACGCAGGAGAATGTTGGGTGCCGAGTTGGCGGTATCTGGGGGCGCCATGTCGGTGGGTAATGAAGCGGGTATGAGGAACGCCAACGCCTCCGATATTCGGCCGTGCGTGCTAGATGTCGCGGAGCACGAAGGGTCTCCGAATGGAGATGGGAAATGCACAAGAATCCCGAGTAGCGAGGGTTGGGGTGGTCGGGATGGACTCCCCGGGGGGGCGAAGAAAGCGATTTCGAACGAGTTCGACGGCCACCGGTGATGGGCTCGAAGCTCTTTCATGGACAAAAGGAAAATACAAAGCTTGTGTGCCAGAAGCGTGTGGACATGTACCGAGAGTGTGGCCTTCCTAAGAACGACAACCATTCCGAGTTTGACGTACTTGTCAAGTTTGACGATCTCGACGCCGGGAGTTGAACACCTTCAAGATCGCACCATCAACCAAACTCCTTCCCTTTCCCCTATCCTTTTGAGAGTAGCGCCAAAATACATAGGCGCCACTTAGCCATCGTAGGTTCGAAGGACAGGGAGTCAGAAATATCGAAGTGTTTTGTTCCAAACGCTTTTAGTCCGCGGAAAGGTGGACGTTAAAGACTCACTGGAAGGGACAGAGACTATTTGTTTTGGCTACGCGTGTTGCTGTATTCCCCCGCGAGGGTTTGCGCTCCCGTGTTAGTGTAACGTACTCGCCTCTTGTTGGTGCATGGTCGACGAATTACACAAGTGTTGAAAATGAAAATGGTGGTGACATGTTCGTTTTACCAGACCGCGTGTCCCTCGGCCCGCTCGGTCAGCGCACGGTAATAGAAAGGCAACACCTACTTTGCATTTAGTCAACGAGTTGGAAGTTAAGAAATTGATGGTTCGATTTTCACGAAATTGAATCAACTGAAACTCACGCGCACAGGATGCTGTACATTATCTGTTCGTTTCCTCACTGATATCACAAAACGTGCGAGTTACTCAGAACAAGCGTTTCTTATGTGGTGGCCTGTTCTGCGCAGCTGTTCTTTTCGTCGATGGTTCAACAGACTCCACTTCTGTACACACCATCACTAACAATGACGATGACGACGAAGACACGAATGACAGCAACAACGGTCAAGCTCCAGAAACACAGGTTCTCCCGTCGCCGCAAAAAACAAAGCGCACCGGCAGATGAAAAAGTGGTCGAACTCTGTCGCCGGAACCACTGTCGCCGGAACCATTGTAGCGCATCGCAGAAACCAACTGATTCTTCTCAAGCGATGGGACGATATTCGCTCGCAAACGCCCGACAGACTGTTCCGTTCCTCTTGACTCTCGCTGAACAAGCTCAGAGTCAGCGAGGACATCACATGTCTTACAGCACTCACGACAAGAAATGGGAAAATGAAATTAGTATATTTTATCCAAACAACAGGACAAACACCATGGTCAGGTCACCCGTGATACTGCGCCCTACAATCTTGCCCTGGAACCAGCAAAGCCGCGCGGGGGGGTCGCAGCACTTTCTATGGTTCTAATGCTCGCGGGTGCCACTACTGTAGGTGTTCCGCTACCGCCGGGGGGGGGTGGATAACCTCTCTCGGTGTGTTCGAAGCCGTTGAAATTGGCTCCCGGTTCAATTGTTTTGTCAACACGTTGATCGAAACCCGACGTGACAGCGGTGTGATAATGACAGAGGTATGTGTGATGTGACTTTCGTGTCTATCTACCCTCCTTTCAGTGGCTGGTCGCCTGGTTGAGACCGCTTCGGCTTCTTCTGACTGCATCAACCGGCTTCCAACACATCACAGAGGCACGAGGTCTATCTAAGGTCATCCAGCTACTTAACCAATAATGTCTGAGCGATAGACCACTGATTTGCGCCATGCCCTAGTTATTCCTATGCCATTGGGTCGGGTTCTTCGCTCTTCGGACACTGGAGCAGCGCCGCCTTCGCCACCAACGGGGCCGGAAGCCAGTTATACCTCATCCGAACTTCCCCCTCGTCCCTAACGTCCTCCCTAGCAGAGGGCGATATAGACCGCTGTTGGCGACAATGATGGCCATCGGTAGCGATAGAGTTCGCGGTTATGGTGCCAGGTCGAGGGGGCGGGCCTAGTCTCTCTGGGGTTGGGCGGGTTTTCGCGATCCCGACTGGAACACCCGCCCAGGCGTTTCTGTCGCCCGTTAGTGTTAAGCGGTCGCGCTCAGACGCCGGGGGCAGGAGGACCTTGAACGTGCGGACGCCTGAAGTGCGCACGTGGTTTGGGTGAAGCTTTGGTGTGTTTGGGCAAGCATGGAGGAGGCGTGCTGTGGAGGAGGAAAAGGCGACGAGCTCCGTAATAAACACCTGGAAACTTCTCCTGATATTTTTCCTGCTCGTAACAATTGAGACTTACTCTTGACCCACCGTAGCATCCGGATAACGACACATTTCAATTTACACTAAAAACCCTTCTACGGCACGGCTGTTGTGCATCCCACATTAGAACAGAAGAAGCGCGTAAATGACGTGATTCGGTCGGGTATATCGGAGGAGTGCTCAGGCCCTACAGTCCGCGTGTCAACTTGTATGGTGTGTCCCAGCCGGCACAATGTTTATCATCAGAGGCTGACAGTCGAGGCAGCTCCTCCGACCAACCTAAAGCAGCTGAACCCAAACATCAAAAGGACATATATTCCGCATGCGAAAGATCTGCCATGTCGATTTTTCCGGGAATGGCGGCGTCGCCAATATTTCTTACACGGGAAAATCTCTGACGGCAGCGGTTCTACTCTAGTGTTCGTTCGAACAGTTCTACGAGGTCTCGCCGTAGTTACCTGAAGTCGATCCGCGAGGGGGTGCCCAGATATGATCGTGCATGCTTGGCGGGTTTTCCACTTCGTAACGAGGCCTCCATCCCGTGTGAGCGAACTCTTTACGTCCCCACACTCGCCTCTTGACCTGGGGAGTTTGATGGCACATGTTGTCGGGGCGTTTCGTTCGTGGTACGAGAAGTTTGAGGTATCGTTGACGCGGGCGGACGATGAGGTGCAGCGTAGACATTAATGGGTTAAGGACTTGCCGAACCGATTGAGCAACTAGTCGTTTGCGTTTGTGGATGGCTACAGCAACTTTCTAGTTGAGCCACCGACAATAGCTCCCTGTTCCCCGTCCTTTTTTTCGTGTCTTCGTCTAGAGTGCAAGACCGAACTGAGGCCTGGTGCCTTGGATCACAGATTATGTGGTGCTCTGTCGACCGGGAGCAAGGTTTCGGCTTGTGTGGGAAGAACTACAGGTCTCGGATCCGTCGAAAAACCAAACCGCCTACTCGCCGACGTGCAGACTAGACGAAACCCCATGTACGAAACGGAGATGCCTCAGCCGCTTCATTTCGGCTACATCTGACGTCGGCGGGGTGTACCAGCGAGGTCCTACAGACGTACGACTGTAGTCTGTTTGACACCAGGAGCTTCAATGATTACGAAAAGGCTGTGTAGCTCTCCGCCCCTGCCTCTATTAATAGTTCTCCCACGGCCAAACCGCCTGTTTTACCACAGTCGTCATGCCGTACCTGTTCGCTGTTGTGCCCTCCAGCCCCCCGCGTCACCGCAAGCGCGTCCAAATACCGCTGGAACTCCCTCCTTCGACGGGCTCTGTCTTCGAGCCATTTGAGATAGGCCGCCAGTCGTCTCCTTGCCCTGAAAATGAGTCGAGGGCCACGGCATCATCATCAACGCATGATCGGTGGAAGAGGCGAGCATCACAGGACAAGGATGGTGTGGTCTTCAACAGGGAGTCAGGGCAAGATAGATGTGCATCGGCTTGCTTTTTGCTTTTCCACCCCCCCGCCCCCCCCCCCCCCCC